TAAAATGTTGGTCGATGTTCGATCCAAGTCCAGTTGAAATGGTTCTCAGCATAGAACTGAGGTGACAGAACCGGTGTTTTACGCTCGCTTCTCATTTTTCTACGTCGTTCTTGTCATGAGCTCAAAGACGTGACTTTTTAACGAAGCTTTCATTTCCTTCGTATTTAAACCCAATCGGAGGTCATCTGATGGACTCGTGCGACGCTGCAGGTTCTGGATCAGCGACACGATGAGAAATAAGGAACGTTTCATCTTTAATGTGTCCAAAGATCCGGTTGACAACAGAACCTGCTGAAAGTGGATCAAGAGGAACTTTATAAAATCACCTGAGCCTCATGATGCCGCCGCCGCCGTGCTTCAGAGGAGTCGTAGGCGACTCGTGGCCTCCCTCTCTAGTCTCCTTCTAGTCTCCTTCTCGTCTCCTTCTCGTCTCCTTCTAGTCTCCTTCTCGTCTCCTTCTAGTCTCCTTCTAGTCTCCTTCTAGTCTCCTTCTCATCTCCTTCTCGTCTCCTTCTAGTCTCCTTCTAGTCTTCATGCTGGATTTATCTGGAGTGGATTCAGACTAATTGTGATTGTTTTGTCTAAATCGGTGTTTCTCTGACATGAAGCTCATTTTGTTGTGAACTCGTCTCCAGTCATACTCTGCTCCACCTGTAGGTGTCGCTGCAGCCGGCTGTGTTCAGCTTGTGGTTTGTTTTAAAGCCTGTTGCTCATGAAGAAGCTGTGAGGAGACGTGGCGTTCACACCTGGTCACCTGGCTGCACTGTACAGACAAAGCCTGACTCTGACGAAGGCTTAAAGAATCAGAACCATTTACATCCTGAACAGACTTTTTCTCTTTTAGATAAAATCTAATATCTGTAAACTGTTTGTTTTTTCTGATTTAAATTCAGTAAATGTAGAAGCTCAGAGCCGCGCTGTGAAAATATGCTTCTGCTGTTTTCATCATGATGAGGTTTTCTAATTGTTCTGACTTAACGAGGCAGGAACCTGGTTTCTGCTCTTTGTCTGTTCAGTGACGAGTCTTGTAGGATTTTAATCAGATTAATTGAAGGAGGTTCTTAAGTTCAGTTTGTTTTTCTGCAGTTTTACAGTTTCCACAGACGAATGAATGAATGAATGAATGAATGAATGAATGAATGATGATGACGACCTGCCTCCGGCCCTCTTTTCCTCTTTGACAGTTTTTCTGCCTTTAACTCGTTTTTTTTTTTGTCTTTTTTCTGTTTGCTTGCAGCTCAGAGCAGCGACCAGGACTCAGAGCTTCTCTGTGGAGGTACGAGCAGAAGATTCTGTTGTTTCATGATGTCAGAACCAGACTGGACCTAAAATCAGCCGTTGATAAATTAAAATCAGCAAATTACTGACAACAGCCATAAAATGAAGCCATTTTTTAAAACTGTTTTAACAAAAACCTCCTTTTTTTTTTTTTTTTTTTAAAGATTTGCTCATAAATGAAAGAAAAGTATTTTAATTATTTTAATTATTCAGGAGCATGAAGTTATTATCAAACTAATTATCATTTTACACATTTAAAAAAAACAAACGGTAATTTTATAGATTTTATAGATGTAGAAAATGAACTTAAAACATCAGTCATAAATAGTTTTTTGGTGATTTAATAAAATTAAATGTCATTTTACAGCCAAAACGATAAAATACCGACTCGTCCGGTTGAGACGTGAATTTAAATTCATGTTTTTCTGAGATTTTCTGTTTCATTTAATAAAACATAAACAAACATTTTTTAATTAAAAAACGACATTAAGTCTAATGAGTGACACACGGAGCTCAGAAACGGTTTGATTTGGTTTGTTAAAGCTTCTGGTTCCGGTCGGTCCCACTTCTCAGTGCTTCACTGGTTTTCCTTCAGAACCGGATCAGCTTCAGAGTTTCTCTCACACCAGACAGAACCAGACAGAACCAGACGTCCAGCTGGATGTGGACGAACCCGTTTGTTTCTGCAGAACTTCCTCCAACAAAATCACGACTCATGATTTAATCGGCAGAACCGGGTCTTTAGTTCTGAGTGTTCTGCAGCAGCAAACGGAGGTTCTGCTCAGTTTTTTATTTTTAACCCTGAAAACACTTGAACGTGGTTCTGATCCATCAGCTTCACCAAAAACTTCAAACAAAAGGATTCAACGTGTTCAATGAAACTAATATAAATGATTATTTCTATTGATTAGATCAGGTTCAGATCAGAACCTCCCAGAACGTTTTTCTGTTTTCATGAATCTTGATCAGCGTCCAGGTCCAGGTCCAGTTCTTCTGGACTCGGTTCCTCTCTGATCGATGTGACCCGTGAGCCTTCGCTGTCAGACTTCTGCCTGTTCGCGCGTCGAGGCTGTGAAACCGGCTGCAGACGAACTTGAACGGGTTTTGGCGGGACGTCGTGCGGCGCCGGTCGGGTTTCTCCGCCTCGGGCTCTTCGCTCTGCGGCGTCTCATCTCCGAGAGGATCACGGATCCGGTGGCAAAACCAATGAGCGGCCGCGGATGAAGCGAATCCTCGGCTGAATTCTGCCGGGCCGCTGCCGTGTTTCATGTGCCGTCCTCTGGGTCGAGCCGTCAGCGCTCATATCCGCCGACCGTCCTCCGAGTTCCCGCCACGTCGGAGCCGCTGAGGTGAGACGAGGTCGCAGGAAGTTAGTTCAAAGCAGCGGGAAAGTGCAGCAGCAGCACGAGTTCAAAGGATCCGGTTCAGCTCATGAATAATGGACGAGTCGGGTCGAGCCTCTACGACAGAACCCAGCAGCTGGACCCGGTTTGTGACGCAACGTATTTCGAACCTGTTCCACTGCTGTCCAGTGTCCAGAACAACAGAACAAACAAGTTCTGTCAACGTCATAAAAATCTGTTTTTAATCAAATGTTTAAGTCGTTTTTTCACCATTTTTATTGTATTAAAAAAAAAAATCACAAATACAAAAAAAATCACAAAAACATTTTTTTTTTAAAATCGGCTGTTTTCCACATTTTTCCTGTTTTGTTAAATTACCAATAAAATCAAATAATACAAATAATAATTTGTTTTTACTGTGATAATATAACATAATTTAAAGAAGTAAGACGTCATGAACACATTGATCACTGCTGTTTCTAGAAGTAAACTGTTTTATTAAACACTTTATTTTGCACATTTTCCGTTTTGTTAAATGCGATGCCGTGAAGTTGGATAATTTTTACCTATTTGAGTCACAAATATGTTTATTCATGTTTATTTTATATAGATTCAGGATTTAAAAATGGTTGAAAAACATGAATTCAAGTGTTTCACACATTTTCCTACAAGCGCCATGGAGTGAATCACAGAGGTCAAGTTTTTTACGTCATGTTTTGATGCGTCTCGTCGTGTCGCTGTGAGTCTGAGCAGCAGCACAAAGACGTCACATCGCAGCCTTCAGGACGTTCGGTCTTCGCTGCGTCGGGTTCTGGGTCAGTTGGCTGCAGGAGGAGAAACCCGACTGCTGCGTCTGTCGTGGAAAACGAGATTCTGACGATCAAGGACGAGATGTCGAAGATCAGAGACTCAGCCGGATGAGAAAACTCTTCAGGGTTTGCAAGCTGCTGAATTATTCACCTCGCCGTCAAACATTTCTGTCTATCGAGCCACCGTCACACCAGAACTTCAGGTGTGAAGCTGGTTCTGGTTTGTCTACTAGTTTGCTTCACTGAGCCAGCAGCTGTCTGGACGCTCGCCGCTAACAAAGTGACCAAAACCCAGGAAGGAGGAAGAAAACACACGACACCCGTTTACAAAAATCAAAGTCGATGTTGTATTTCTTAAAAATGTACAAATGAGATCCACAGACATTAATTCAGCACAACAAGCTGCTGCAGCCGCGTACAAAAAGGAAGAAGCTGGATTCTCACGTGTTCGGCATTCAGAGCCGCTCGCTCGTCATTTATCAGCCACCAGCTCATCATTCCAGTCGCACGGCGAGAGTCTGACGCCTGACACCCAGATGTCACAGTTAATCTCAGCAGCAAAGCAGAAATCAGATCAGGGCTCGCTGAGGGAAGTGACTGTAAACTTGAAATGCAGCGATGATTGAACAGTTTTTTTTTTTGTTTTTTTTTTCTACCAGCAGGAATGATAGAAAACGAAGCTCGAGTCATTTACAGTGTAGAACGTCTGGAACAAGTCGGGCTGATGGTGCGCTCCAACAACAGAATCATATAAAACCTGGTTGCATTCGCACGTTTTCAGTGTGATCATATGCTTGACATGCACATGTTCGGCTGAAGCAGGCACTTAGTCAAGTGATCTTACTGCAGACCTGTACGACAACTCGACTGTTTGCTGCAGCCACGAACAAACGTCTACATCCACTCGTAAAGACCCGAGTTGTCAGGACAAGTCCTCAGTCTCCAACTGTCTACGTAATGAAATAAAACGGTTCAAACACGAGTCTTTGTCCCAAAAACCAAACAAACATGGAGCTAGTTGGCATCACTGAGCAGAAACATGTGGAGGAGAGAAGGTGAGGCCTTCAACCCCAAGAACACCAAACCTGCCACCAGGCATGGCGGTGGCAGCATCATGCTGTGGAGCTGGAGCCCTACACAAAGTAAATGGAACAATGAAGATGGTGGCAGTAACACAACTGGACCATGAACTTTATGCTGACACACTGATGGTTCTGGATCTGAAGCTGCTCTGAAACGGCTCCAAGTCACTTTCTGATGATGTTCTTCTCCAGATCTTTGCTGAGCTCCTCAGACTTTCCCACTGTAGCGTCTGAGTCTAATGAGTGGATCAATGAAACAACCAAAATACACGAGTTACAGCAAACATTGGAAACTCAAGACTTGTGACAGACGAGGTTTTTTCCAGTGGATGTAAACGTTTGTTCCAAACTGCACCTAAGGCAGAAAAACAGAAATATGGCTTCTCAAAACAATAGAAAACTGCCATTTGAAGTTATTAGCAAATAAGACTATACAAGGAAACAAGACGCTGCAGAGACTTCTGGCACAAAGACCCATCAGTCTGAAGTTCGTTGTGCATGAAGAGTTCTGAAAACTGAAAAGTTCTGTTTTCTGTGGAGCTAAGACATCAGGTTGAGGAACTGGCTTTCCTCGGCCAGAGCCGTCAACAGGGAGCTCATGTCCCCAATCGCCATGTTGCCCGTCGCCGCCGGCACCGACGGCAACGTGACCGAGTTCCTTGGTGTCGTGAGGCGGGAAGAGTTCTGGGACAAACTCTGCAGCAGACCTGGACTCAGGGTTCCCGACATGAGGCTGGAGTGATCCCCGTCATCCAGCATGACGTCAAAGTCGATCTGCTCCAGTGTCGCCTGCTCGCCCCCCGAACCGGGAGGCGCTACGCTGTTTTCAAAAGGAGGTACGTCCACCACAGAGGATACATGAAGGATCCCGTTGGGCTCAAATATGTGAACCTGCCCCATGTAGTACAAAGCATCAGCGTTATCGTTGCACTGAAGTCCGAAAGTGGTGGAGAACTTGGAATCTGGTGGGTTCGCTGTTTGCTGCATCACCAGAGGTTTGGGTTCTGTTGGTGGCTTCGGCTGGAGAACCAGCATCGATCCATCACAGTCCTCAATCTTTACGTGCACCGGCTGAAATCCAGCATCAGCAAAGTGCCTGTCGACAGTCTCCATGTCAGCTGGTTCCTGTTTGCAGCCAGAGCTCAGATAAGTGCTGTTCCCATTTGTGTCAAACCCATTGATGCCTTTGCTGAGTCTGCACTGAGATCTGACCGCTTCGTTGAGATTCTGGAAAAAGTTCGGCTGAGCGCATCTCTGCTGCGGCTTGTTTGGAATCATCTGCTGGTTGGGGCTGAGAGGTTCAAAGTTCTGGTTTTGCTGGAGGACGGCAAGGTTTCTTCGGACATTCATGAGTCCTGAGGAGGCTTTGTTCTGGACGGGTATGTTGTTCCTCAGCGACGACGGACACATCCCTGGACTCGAAGAGGGCAGAGCCTGAGTGGACTGGTTCAGGTTCATCCTTCTCTGGCGGCACAACTGCTGCTGGAGGGCGAAGGCTCCCTGAAAATCTCGGTGATCGGTTGACGCTCTGTCGGTTGCGTTGCGGAGGTTGGGCAGCGGCAGGTCTTCGTCCGGGATGGAAGGGAAGCTGTGGACGGAGGCTTGCTGGGACGAATGCCGGCAGTCTGTTGCAGGAGGCAGACGGGTCTGCATGATCGCGTCACTGCCCAGCGTGCCCATGCTGTTGTAGCGCTGCATTGGAGGTCGGCTGGAAGGATCCATCGCCAGCTGTCTCACCGGGTCACTGGCTCTGCGGGGGATGTTTGACGGGACCTCGTGGGGCATCATGCTCCGGGTTGCATAGCTGCCGTTCTGCCTGTTAGGTAGGACTCTGTTGGAGGATTCCTGGGAGTCACCATACAGGGCCGAGTGGCTCTTCGGACACATGTGGTCAATGTGTGGAAGAGGCGTCGGTGGCGCCCCCCCAGTGGCGGCGGCGTATTTGGCCTTGAGACGGTAGTGCTGCACTGGCGTCAGGCTGAGGGGGCTCCCATAGCCTCCCAGCCTCCCCCTACACTGACTGGCCTGACTGGAGCGCCGCGAGATGTCGGCGGAGATCGGGTCATAGGAGTCCGCCGAGCTGCCGTTGCCGAGGCGGTCGAACTGGGAGGCCTGGCTGGAGCGCCGGCTGGAGAAACCAGGGGAGATGCCTGAGGAGCGGCGACTGTAAACCGAGCTCAAGGTGCTGGAAGTGCTGTTGCGTCGGTCTGACAGGTTTCCCACCACCGTCACTTTACTGGAACCAGGGAAGGACACCGGACCGCCACACATACTGGGACTGTCCAGGATCGACCCTGAGAACGGATACAGGAGAATATTAACCACCAGGTCTTCAGGACTGTTCGGTTCAGTCTTAGAGCTCTTGTCCTTTGATGTCTAAGCTAACTCTCTGAACCTCAAGCAGTCTCTGCTCTCTAACAAGTTGTGGAGCTCGACTCACCGCTGGTTGGTATCGGTGGGAGTTTGGTGCCGAGGCCTGGTTCTGTTGGGTTGTTTTCCCACCGACAGGAGTCCATCACCGCCTTCAGCTTCTCTGTCTTGAGCTGCTCGAGGCGCCAGCTGGTGCTGAGCTGCTTCCTGAAGTGTAGACTCGCCGCCGTGACACCGCCGCCGCCGCCGCCGCCGCCGCCGCCGGTTCCTTCATCGAGGTCATCGAGGGTGCTGAGGTCCCCCAGACTCCCCCCGCTGAGCGCCGCCATCTCTACTCCACTGTCATTGTTGGCGGCGCTGCCAAGTGGTGATGGTTCGCTGCTACATGATGACTGACCGCCAGGGCTGGACTGATACACCTGAGGACCAGAGGACACCTGTCAGAACTGATCTGGGGAAAGTGTAGGAGGTGAAAGTGAAAACGGAAAACGGAGGAGGTGGAACCGGTGGAACAGAAACATCCTTAGAATCGTCATACAGGCATCAAATCTGGCTGCTCCTTTAGAAAAAAATATTAAAACGGCGGCCGCTTGTCAAGACTCAACACCGGCGTCATGCTTTTACGATTAACATGTAAATAAAACGTTTACCTGTAAATGTGTGGATAAAGCACATCAGGACACCTGCATTGTGTCTGCAATTTAACAAAACTGTAAAATAACTGACATTTTTCCTTAATATACAGAATTTGTGTTTAAAATAAAAATTGCAAATATCTGTAAAATAACACATATTGTTGATTCAAGTTTAAATGTAATTTTGCATTAAACTTTTTATTATTAGAGACTAAAAATGGCGGCCATTTTTCAAGATGGTGGACGTTTGTTTCATACTTTTAGATTTTTTCTTGTAAATTAATACTTCTGTGATTTTACTCGATATTGTTCGTAGTTTAACAAAACAGAATATTTGTAAAATAACATTTTTAGATTATGTAAATACAGTAATTGGACTATTTTTAACATGTAAATTAACACTTTTTCTGGTAATTTTACTGAATATTATGTGTAATTTATCAAAAAAGGAAAACTTAAAAAAAAAATTTAAACCATTTTTCGTCATTAATATGCATCATTGTTCTTTCAGCATTTTTTGCTGATTTTAATTTGATCAAACGGTAAAAGAACAACAAAAAAAAATCAATTTTGTAAAAACTAGTGCATAACATTAATCCGTGTTTTGTGAGGCTCGGCCCGGTTCTTGGTGCTTGTGTGACGATACTTTGGATGTATTTGATATTAAAGGAAAAAGATGAAAGGAGCAGCAGACGAACAGACGAGTGTTTGTCCTAAAAACAGACGTTGCTTCTGCAGTTTTATCAGATTAATTGTACATAATGAGAGTTTTTGTGGCAGCGTCTCGGTCCGTCGGTGAATCAGGGACGAGCAGACGAGAGGCTGAGACGAGGAAACAACCTTTAAATTCTTCTTGCTTCAGATTTATTCGCTTTATTCGAGTGTAAACGAATAAACCGGACGAACAGCCTCCCTGCCTTTAACCGTGAGACGCTTCAGGACAAAGGAGAACACCGGTTCTGCAGCGGTTCTGCAGCGGTTCTGCAGCGTTCTGCAGCGGTTCTGCCTTTAGGTCCACACAGCTCCGCCTGCCTCCCTCTGATGTACTCGCAGCCGAGCAGTCGCCTTGATCACAGCTCCCAGTTTGTAGTTCGCTCAGCCGAGGCCCCAAAGTGTGAATATTAATCCTGCAGCGACTTTTATCGTGTCGGGGCTCCGAGATGGAGGTTTGATGAGCCGCCGCCGCCGGTTTGTGACGGAAAAAAAGGTCAAAACCGGCAAACGAATGCATAAAACAAAGTAGAAAGGAATGTAACATGCAAAATACAAATGAATTCAAGAAAAAATGACACAAAATTAAACAAAGTGATAAAGAAATGAGAAAAATGATCCAAAAATACACAAACATTGAACAAAATTGCACAAATGAATGGTGCCACAAAAAAGCTGCAAAATGCTGCAGAAACGAGGTTCAAAAAGATAAAACCTAAAAGATTTTTGCATCTTTTCTTTAAATTTGTTAAATTTTTTCTAACTTAATTTCTGTCATTTTGAGTCTTTTTCGTTTTTCATCGTCTCATTTTGTCATTTTTATACATTTTTCTGTTTTTTTTCTCCGTCTTGCAGCTATTCAATATAAATATGCAGAAAGTTTATTTGACGCTTCGGAATAAATTTGCTGTAAAATAGTAAAATAAACTAAAACGATGTGAAAAATGAGGAGTATTATGTGTTACGTGGGCTCACCTCAGCAAAGTCTGTCCACGAGGGAAGTCAGAAAAGAGAGAAAGTGAAAGTGAGCAAACAAAGAAAGCTTCAGACCAAGAGGAGGAGATGTTGAATAAAGTCATTTCTGTTCAGTTTGAACCGACTCACCACCGAGTTTTCCGTCTTGATGCCCTTGACGTGCAGGAAGTCCTCCAGGCCTCTGGGGGCGCCGCTGTCGGCCATCTTGTCGTCGCTCCGGGTCCTGTCCCGAGGTTCCGTCTCGTTCTCGCCGTTCTCTCGCGGCCTCGGCGGCGGATCGCTGCGCTGCTTCTTGGTGACGTGGGCTTCGGGGCCGTGGACCGTCTTCACGTGCTTCCTGAGCGAACTCGGGTCGGTGTAGCGCTTCGTGCAGCCCGGAATCTTACAGACGTACGGTTTCTGAGGAGGCAGAGGAAGAGCGCCGGAGGTCAGGCCACAAGCGCTGGAGCGTTTGTCCACGACGACGAAAGAAATGACGCAACTTCAGACTTATTTATGACTTGTGACTTGATGACGACTTCCCCAAATGACTCAAGTCTTGTCCAAAGTGACTCGTTCACGACTCAAAGCTTCTCTGGAGCGGCTCAGAATTTTCCCAAAAGGACGTGAAACTGATTAAACACCACCGAAGCTTCTCCGTCGTGACTAGAACGAGTCCAAAGCGAATAAAAACGAGTCCGAAAAGAATCAATGTTTGGTCAAAAAGTTTCATGTTCTGTTGGACAAGTTTGAGTCATGTTGGAGAAAGAAATGGTAATTTTCCACTTTTATTTTCCATTTTGATGAAGTTTGAGCAATTTTGGACAAGTCACTGTGGAGAAGCTACGAGTCATTACGGTCATTTGAGTTGTTTTGGACGAGTCTCGAGTCACTTTAGACCCAAAGACTCGACACTAAACCTGCAGCTTCTCGTCAGTTTTTCTGCCTGATTTAAAGTTTCGTTCCTTCGGTACCTCGTTGGAGTGGGTCCGGTTCTGGTGCTTGGCTCGGTCCGAGGCGTTGGAAAAGGCTTTGTTGCAGCCTTCGTGCTCGCAGACGTACGGTTTCTCTCCGGTGTGTGAGCGCAGGTGGGTTTTCAGGTTCTCCAGACGGGAGTAGGCCTTGGAGCAGCCTTCAAACTGCACAGACGCACAACAGGATGCAAAAGTTTGATCCAAAAACGACACAAAACCACACATAAAAGTGCAAAAATTACAGAAAATGACCAAAAAAGACGGAAAAATGAAAACAATTTGTACAAAAGTTAGACAAATTGATGAAAAACTGACACAAATGTACACAAAGATGCATCAGTGACACAAAAATACGCAAAAATGAAACCAAATTGTACAAAAAGATGCAAAAATTAGATACAAAAATGACAAAAAAATACACTGAAACATTTTTAAAGACCAAAAAGATGATCAAAAAGAAGCAAAAATTGACACAAAACCACACACAAAAATGGCAAAAATTACACAAAATGACCCAAAAAGATGCAAAAATAAAAACAATTTGTACAAAAGAAACCAAATTATATAAAAAGATGCAAAAATTAGATCCAAAGATGACAAAAAAATACACTGAAACATTTTTAAAGACCAAAAAGATGATAAATGACACAAAAACACAAAAATTACACAAAAAAGATACAAAAAATTTAAAATTACATCGAACAAAACGCAAACATTGGTGCAAAAAATCCACAGAAAAAAGCATAAATGTGCAAAAAAAAACCCAGAAGCTGGTCGGCGGTGATTTTCTTTTCATGTGTTATGAAGCAGAACGTTTCCACGACGGTGTTTGTTCCAACGTCTGTCGTTCACCAGGACGTTTGGACTAAACCCGTCCGTCTCTGCTGGCCTCAGACGGCATAACTGTGGCGTTAGCGTGGCGTTAGCGTGGCGGCGTTACCCACCGTGCACTTGTGCGGCTTCTCCCCCGTGTGTCTCCGCATGTGAACCACCAGCATGTACTGAGCTTTGAAGGGCTTCTGCTCACGAGAACACGAGTCCCAGCGGCACACGAACTCCTTCTTCTCCCCGTGGATGTGGTCGTTATTGATGTGCTGCACACACACACACACACACACACACACACACACACACACTCAGTGGGCTGTTCTCGTCCACTAACAGGATGTTTGTGCAGGAATCCATCTTATCAGATTCTCAGAGGACGGCGTCACAGTCGCACTAATTAGGACCAGAATTAAAAGGAAACATGAAAACTCTGCTTTGGTCGAATGCAGCCACAACTTTGGTTTGAATACGACTTTTCTCGCTTCCTCTAATGTGCAAAATGCAAAAAAAAGAAAGAAAAAAAGACTCAAACAGACGCAACGTGACAGAAAAAACGACGAGACAAAGCCTCAAAAATGGTTAAAATGACGGAAAAAGATGCAAAAATGTCCAAAACACAAAAACATGACTCAAAATAACAAAAATGTTTTAAAATAAACAAAGATGACAAAGTTTTTTTTTTAAATGCAAAAGACATGCAAGTATGTTTTTTTAAAATAGAAAAACAGCAGAAAAGGAAAGAAAAACACATGAAACTCTTTGGTCGGACTTGTTTTGTACCTGCAGTCACAGCTTTGCTTTAAATCCCATTTTTCTCGTTTGCAGGTTTGTTTTTTTAAACGCTCTGATTTACAGAAACAAAAAGCAAAAAACAGAAAAAAGACTCAAACAGACGCAACGTGACAGAAAAAAAAGTGAAACGATGAGACTCAAAAATAGTTAAAATGACAAAGAGATGCAAAAACGTCACAAAAAGAAGCAAAGATGACAAAGATTAAAAAAAGTTAAGACAAAAAATACAAAAAGATGCAAATATGGATAATTAAGGATTAAAACTGTTTAAACTCTCATTTACAGATTTAAGTCCGACTGTTCCTGCATCAGATCAAAGCTTCACAGACACTTCCTGTTGCTCGCTGTGAAGCTTTTATTCACGTACGACTTATTTCAGTGTCTATCGGATGAGACCCTGTGGACTCAACCCGGCTGGCCTTCCTTACGTGGACGAGCTGCTCCTGCGAGTCGAACTCTTTGCTGCAGCTCTCCCAGTGACAGTTGGTCTCGTAAACGGCTTCGGCTTCCTGCTTGCACTCGTCTCGGTCCGCCTCGTCCTTCAGCTCCGACGGGCCGCGGCGGTTCTGCACAGAACCAGAACACAGCCGCTCAGCACAGCCGCCTCCTTCAACACGCTCACTGTCAGAAAGGTATGAATGTTCCTGGACGGTGCCTGATTTCTTTAATTATTCACACTTTAGCAAAAAACCCAACTTCTATCTAAAATGTCCGAATGTTCCCAAAGGTTCTGTCTCGACACAGAAGTTCTTCCAACTTTTCTGAGAACATTTTCTTTCTTCCAAACATTTGATCCAAACATCTGCACACTTTCTGTCTGGAGCTCACATCATCTGAGCAAATGTCAGAAACTGAACCGGACACACAGTTTGTCCCGCTCGGCTTCCCGTCCAACACACACACTAACACACACACACACACACACACACACACACACACTAACACACACACACACACTAACACACACCGACACACACGCTGTGCTGACGGCAGCAGCTTCGCCGCCGCACACACACCGTCTTCATCAATTGTGGTTTCCCCCAGACGCCGGCGAGCTCCGTCGCCATGCATCAAACCCAAAGCTGCCTCGCTATCGGAGAGCAGCCGCAAATTTGTCAAAAGGACGAGAAAAAAGCCTCCTCACATGACAATAAAGCCCGGCCAATATTTCATGAAAATGAAGTGCCGTGGCACAGTTTACGGCGAACGGATGCAAAGCTCTTATCAGCTGGAGTTTTTCTGCCTTAAACAAGGAGGTCACTGGAGGCTGGAGCTCCCCGGAGCCGAACCCGCGGACAGGAAGCGGCAGGAAGTGGCAAAATAAAGCCCCAGTTTGAAATATCCCCGCTGTCAGGAAGTGTTTCAATTAAAATGTCCACGACAAGGCTGTGGATTTCTAAAAGTGTACGTCCACTTGTGAAGAG